CTATCTATCTATCTATCTATCTATCTATCTATCTATCTATCTATCTATCTATCTATCATCCACCCATCCATCCAAGGGTTGGACAAAGGGTTCTCCAATCTCTTCTTAAAAACATCCAGCGAAGTTTTATATGAGTTTAACCTGGTTCTAAATCTTCTTTAAAACTTCCAGTATTTGAGGGGCTGCCACAAAGAAGAGGGGGACCAGCTATTCTGCAAACTGCCCAGAGGCAGGACAAGGAGCAACGGATGGCAACTAAATCAAGAAGAGAAGCAGCTTACAATACAATATCAGAGTTGGAAGGGACCTTGGAGGTATTCTAGTCCAACCTCTGCTTAGGCTGTACTGTTTCAGACAAATGGTTATCCAACTTCTTCTTAAAGACTTCCAGTGTTGGGGCATTCACAACTTCTGGAGGCAACTTCTGTTCCACTGATTAATTGTTCTGTCAGGAAATTCCTCTTCAGTTCTAAGTTGCTCCTCTCCTTGATTAGTTCCCACCCATTGCTTCTTGTTCTACCCTCAGGTGCCTTAGAGAATAGTTTGACTCCCTCTTCTTTGGGGCAGCCCCTGAGATTTTGGAAGACTGCTATCATGTCTCCCCTAGTCCTTCTTTTCATTAAAAGAAGGAATTAATGAGAAATTTCCTGACCATTAGAACAATTAATCAATGGAATGATTAATTAAGAAGTTGTGAGTGCTCCATCACTGTCAGTTTTTAAGAAGAGATTGGGCAGCCCTTTGCCTGAAATGATACAGGGTCTCCTGCTTGAGCAGGGGGTTGGACTAGAAGACCTCCAAGGTCCCTTTCAACTATTATTCCGTTACTTTCGGGGAGTGTTGTGCCAAAGAATCCTTTGCTCTGTTACTACTTCGGGAGATTGAAGGACGAAACCAGTGAGAGAAGTCAGCCCCATCCTTTCATGACCAGTCTGTTTCGACTTAAGACGGGCCTAACCAGGTTAAACGGATATAAAATGGCAACAGAAGGTGGAATTCTTGGTTTTGATGCCACCAGAGACGGGCAGCTCCTTGGGCTTTTTATCATGTCAAAAGCAGAAACATACCATTCGGGACACTTATCTAATCTGTCCCTTCACATGGCCAGGCTGCCTTTTGAAGTCTGCATCTTGAAACTGAATTCTCCTCTGGATGTACGATTCCACCCCCAGAATCTGGGTCTGATTTGGCCTTTTATTTGTCTTGAAGGGTGGGGGAGCAGGCTATAATTGAAATGCTTGTGATAATCTGCTGGAAACAGAGGCAATAAGGGGGATAGGGTAGCCAAAATACTCGCCTTTCTGTTTCCCGGATTCCTGTCTGGGTAGGATAGGGCTCGAGAAAGTGGCCCATTTTTAACCAATAAAGGAGAATTATTTGTAGCCCAAGGTTGAGCCGAGGGGGTTCCTTGGTGGTTTTCTTGCAGATGTTTCTATGTAAGATCTTTTTTGGGGGGGGATTTATTTGGCAAGGAGGGAAAAAAGCTTAAAACAAGACTGAAAAGGTTGCAAGAATCCAAAAATAAATAGGAGGATTTTTTTCTCCTCCTCGTGCATTTTTGGGGGGGTGGACAAGTCTCTTCTTCTTCTTCTTCTTCTTCTTCTTCTTCTTCTTCTTCTTCTTCTTCTTCTTCTTCTTCTTCTTCTTCTTCTTCTTCTTCTTATTCTAATCTAATTCTATTCTTTTCCTTCTCCT